TCCAAATACAAAATTATATAAAAAATAATCATTCATAAATGATAATGTAATTTATTATCTTATTTATAGATAAACATCTATATTTTAAAATATAATTAATTTAAATCATATTAAATCAATATTTTAATAATTCATACCATTATTATTATTTAAATTATTTGCATTATGATTATTATTTAAATCATTAAAATCAAGTAAATCATCAAAAGCAATTTCTTAAGGTTTTTAATCTAATAAAGATTATTATTAATTTTGACTTTCAGATTATTATTAGTTTTGAATTTCAGATTAATTTTGATTATCATCTGCAAAATAATCAATAATATCATCGCCATTATTTTCATTATTAATTATAAAATTCTAACCTTCTTTCTAAACTAAAACATATAAATTATTATTATATTAGCAAAGCTATTTTTTGCTTTCATCATAAAAGTTCAATCCTTTAATACATTATATGCCAGGTTATAAAGGCATTAAATAAACTCCTAAATCAAAAAATTCTAAATTTTCATTTGTAAAATTAACTAACTAAACATATTATATTTTACATTTGTTTTTTAAATAAAATAATATGTTTTTTTTTACTGTATTTTCTAAACCAGCAATTTTAATTCCATCCATATCTTAATCTTTTAAATAAACTCTATATTTAGCAAGATTTCTTGTAATATTTTGAATTCTTAATTAGATTTTCTCTACTTATTTAACAATAATAATAGGTCTTTAAATAATTTCAATTTCAATATCATTACTGTTTAATTATAATTCCACTGGGGAACCAACATAAACTCCGCATTCTCCCCATTCTATAAATATGCTTCCTAAATTTAATTTCTTATTTTTTTCTTTCTATAATTATTTGTATGTTTCTATTTAATTTGCCTTCACTTCTATTTTAATTATAAATTTTTCTTGTTCTGTTTATTTAAGAGTTATTGTTTGTACATTGTTGTTATATGTTATTTTTTATGCTTCAAAAGGATTTTCGGGCATAAAATTAAGGTTTTTAATTTAAAATACTTAATCGACTTTATTCAATATTGAATATTATATATAATATATAGGCGCCTATTTTTTAAAAAAAATAATAATAATGGATTTTATTCTAAAGTACCATTTATGTTGCCAATAAATATTCTATTTAAAATGGAAGTTTAGGAGAAATTCTATATTTTTTGTTTTTTCTAATTCAGGCATCAATTATGTATTTTATGTATTTTATATAAATGGTTTATACTTATAAGTAATTTTAAATACAAACAAATGCTATTATTAATCTTCAATATTACATTAAAAAGGAAGTTTTATTTGATCTTTTTCTTTTAAATTTTATTGTCTTACTACTTCATGTAAAATTACAGATTTTTATCTTCTAAGCATACTTAGAGCTTAATATTTTTTTAAAAATATATATAAATAGAATATAGTTACATCAACTTACACATATTCTAATAATTATTATCCTTTATATTTTATTGAAGCCATAGCTCTTACTTTATCTCCTACCCATACTTTACTGTTTATATGATTTTTATTGAAAAATAATTTATTTTATTTAATATAAACCCGAAATCTTCAGTACATTAAAAATATTCATCACAATATTATATTAATTCTTAATTTTAAATTGATTAAAATTAAAGCGGATGTTTTTAATCTAATTGTTCCTTTTATTATTTTGAAATTTAAATCAAACGATAATTTTTTATTTCGAAAAAATCTTAATCCATTTTAATAAAAAATACTAAATAAATAAAATATTAATTATATAATTTTTTAAATTAAATTTAAAGTACAATTTTAATATATATTTAAAATAAAACTAAAAAAAATAAATTTATTTTAATAATTATTAAAACAATATAATATAAAGTTAATAATTATATTATATAATATTATTTTTAAAAGAATAGAAATTTAAAATCATTATAAACTTTCGTCACTAACAATATTAATAATTTTAATAATATCAAAAACAGTTTTTTCATTAATATTATCGAAATATATACATAAGCAAGCTTAAATAAAAAATAATAAAACGTAAATATAAAATTATAATACACTAAACTAATTAAAAATATTTTAAAAATCTAATAAATTACTATATTAATCTATAATTATACACTCAGAAATAAAAATTATAGCATTTATAATTAAATATAATTAATTTAAAGAAATTCCTTTTTTGATTTAAATAATATTACATTTTACCAAACCTAAACAATAATAAAGTAAACTATAAACTTAAAAAACCATTAAAAAATTAATAAAAAGAAAAGCACTATTTTAGTAATAAACACTCAAAAACTTGATTACAAAATTAATTATTTATAATACAAAAATTAAGCAGAGTATAAATACTGACTTTTTCATTTTATATAATAAATTAAAATGTACATAATCACTACATTAAACACTATAAACATCTGAAATTTCTTCGTAACTAAAAGTATAATTAATTTTTTTAAGAGAATAAATAATACTGTTAAATATAAAATTTTCACTAAATAAATTACAATTATTTTAAATTTTTAGATTCCCATATTAAATAGTATTAGCATCTCTTATTTTCTTTATTATATGTTATAAATATGATTCCTTTAATTATAATTCATATGAATTTAATATTAAAACTGTAGAATCGCAAAATAATTCTATACATTATTCTATATCTAAAATCTTTATAGTTTCATAATCATATTCAGCATTTTTATTTATATTTTTTTATGTATTTTAATTATTTACTTTATAGTGTTTTTTTTATTGTTATCCATTTCTATTTTAATTTGATAATCTTTTTTCTATATCCTATTAGCCTTCTTATTTTTACTATTATTATTTTTTGCTAAAATATTAACATTGATTTTGTTTTGGTGAAATTCGATTTTATCTAAATTAATCAAATTGAATTTTTTTTTTTTTTTATCTATAGGAGTTGCTTAAGGGGCAGGCACAACTTGTTTTTAAGTTTTTGCCTTTACTTTGTCTATCATTATCTGCAATTTTTATTAGTCTAAATCATTAGAACTATTAACTGTTGGAATCGATGCATTTTAAGTCACTATTATGTTAGCGTTATTAGATTCTTTTTTTTGTTTAGTGGGATATATTTATATTTTTTTTCATTTTATTTATCATTATTTTCATGCTAATTTTTTACTTTTATTTAATATTTTTAAAAATGCATTTACTTAGTTAATTTTTTTTACATTATAAATCGATATCATTCTAATTTTATAAGTCTTCGTTTTCATATGCGTAATACCCTTTTTTTTATTTCATATTATTTTTTAAAAAATCTGTTTATTTTATATGGAATTTAATAAAATAAAATTGATTGTAAATAAAAATATTTAATATTAATGTTATCTATTATTATACCAAGAATGAATAATTTATAAATAAATTTTTATATTAATATTCATTTAAAATAATAATAAGATATTATTCTACTTTTTATACATTATTTTAATTTATAATATTATTTATTCATAATAAAATTTATAAGTAACTAAATTTTATATAAAAGTTTACAATTAATATTCAAAATTTTAAACTCATATAAACATTTAAAAAATATATATATTTATTAATCAATTTTAAATTTAATAATTGATAACCCTATGCAAATATAAACACAAAGTAGATAAATTGTAAAAACAAGCTTTACCAATATGAACTTTATAATTTTATATACTTTTATTTAAACAGGATGATAAACTAGATAAGCATCCCATAATTCCAAAATTAATAGAATATCAATAATTATTAGAAATTCAATTTTTATTTAAAAATCCAGTAATTAAAATTACTCAAAAACTTTTTAATTTTTGAAATTAGAAAGTCATAAAGAAAATATCTATGAATATTATGAATATCTTCAACAGGTTTAATTAAAAATTTAAATTATTATTAAAAATAAATGATAATCCGCTGAAATTTCAAATAATAAAACTTAAGATAAAAAAAAATATATTTTTTTAACGTTTTTCTTTTAATATGTTTAAAGTATATTAAATTTATATATTCTTATTAAAATTTAATTATTAATTTTACTTATATTTATATAAACTATTTCTTATATTAATACCTAAATTTAAAGATTCAATACGTAATATTATTCCAAATAATATTTCAAAAGTACATTATATAAACTTTAATTTAATATTATGTGATAAATCTAACTACTAAATTTTGTCAAAAAACAAAAATATCTATATATTATTCGAAATATTTATATTTATATTCAAATTAATTTAAAAGACCAAATATAAAATTTCCAACTATACTTGATTAAAAATTTCCATATTGAATAAATATATTATGATTTTTAGTTATTTGTGTAAAAATAGCCTTTTAATTACTCGTCGTAATATATGAAATAATAAATAGAAAGTAGTTTATATGATTATTATTTAAGTTATTAACTTTACACATTATTTATTATTTATTTTCAATGTATTTATTGAGTGTTAAATATATTTTTATTTTTATAAAAGTAAAATAGATATTAAGTTATTATTTATAAAGTAAATTTATAAAACATATAATAATTAATATAAATATATTAATATATTATATTATTTTGAGTAAAAATAAATCTTTGAATAATCTTAGTATTAGTTTTTTGATTATTCTAAATAATTTTTTTTAAAAAAAAATAAAAATAAAAACTTAGTATAAATAATATTTAATCTTTTTATATATATTATAAATATTGTTATATATATTTATTATTTTACTTTATTAAAATATAATTATTATTTTAATTATTAAATAAAAATTAAAATACATTGAAAGTATTTTATATCAAAAACTTCTTAATAAAATAATGATTTTATATTTATGATTTTTTTTTTTAAAAAAAAAAATGTTTTATTTTATATAAATAAATTATATTTGAATTTTTATTAAGAATATCTTTTCAATTTTTAAATAAGATTTTTCAAAAATATAAATATAAAAAATAAATTAAAAGTATATATACTAATATTATTAACTAATTTAAATAAAAGCCTACATTTTCGATACATGCACAAAAAAATATAAATGTAATAATAATTATATAAAAAAAACAGAAATAAGAATAAACTTTTTTAACTAAAAAACTTTATATAAATCTATAATTAACCATTTATTATTTCTTTCCATTTTTTTTAAGTGAAAATAAAAAAGTAATCAACCGAAAAGATCTCCCATATCGTAATCTTCTTCTTCTTCTTTTTTGGGTTCTTCCTTTTTAGCTTCTATTTTTTAATTTTAAATTAATAAAATAAATAATTTAATATAAAGTTACCAGCTTTTTTTTCTTCTTTTTTAGCTTCAACGGGAGCAGAAGTTTAAGCAGTTACTGGGGCACTTGAAGCTCCAGCACCTCCAGTAGAAATTGCTTATTCAATACTGGCGTTATTGAGATTGCTTGCGTATAATTTAGCATAGAATTTCTCAAAATCTTTAACACCTGCAGCATTTATTAAATCTAAAATTTTTTATCCATTTATATTTAATCCTTCATCGTGAAGAATAAGTGCTGCATATGTGGCGGCTAAATGAGATTTTGTGACTTTGTCTAAATTTTTTAATGGTACTGAAGACATTTTTTTTTTTCCTTTTAATATTTTTTATTTTTTTAATTAAATGTATTATATTTAATAATCTTTTGTATATTTTTTAGCTTATTATTTTTTTGTTCTTTTTTTGTTTAAAAAATAATATATATATATAATTATTTATTTATTAATCAAATTTTTGTTAATAAAAGATATAAATAAAATAATTTAACTAATATAAAATAAAAAATATTTATTTTTAAAAAAATTGATAAAAAAAATAAAATGAGGGCTTATATATAAAAATATAATATTATCATTCAGTAAATTTTTCTTCATCATTATTACTAAGTAAACTATTATCTCTATTAATTCTAATATTTCCCGAAATAACTTTATAAATATTAGTAAAATCATACTTACTTTCATTAAACAATTAGAATTCTTCAATAGGTAGTTTTTCTTTAATAAGTGCCATTTTTTCATCCAAGCTCATAATAATCTCATCTTCTCCAAATTCAATAGTATCCTATACATTACTAGCCTATTTAATAGCCAATTTTTTCTAAATAGTACCCACAACCATATAGGAATGTAGTCTTACCATTTATAATTTATGTAACAATCTAATTTTAGTCTCTTATTGATTTTAAAGATCTATAATTTTGAAATGAACATCATTTTTTTTATCATTTTCTTCTTCATTTTAATTATCTTAATTACTAAATTATTCTTCAAAATCTTTTTCTTTATCTTCTGCAATATTATTAGCTTTTAAAACAGTTTTCAAATAATCTTATTTAATCTATAATCTTTATTTCAAATTATTAATAATATTTTACCTTGATAATAATATACTCTTAAACTCATTCTTTTTTTCACAATCAGCGACAAATTTTTTAAATTAAAATAAACTTTAATAGTTAGGGTTTGATATATCTAATACTTCTTTAAGTTTTTCGTATTTTTCTAACAATCTATCATGTTATTCTTAAATAATTTTAGAGTTTTTTTCTATCTAACTCATATTTTATTTCATTTTTTTATTTTAATCATGTCCTTATTGATCTTATCTTAATTTTCCTTGTTAAACCAAAGCCGATTATTCAATTAAACTATCTGTATTAGCGAAATTTTAGTCGAAAATTTCTTTTCCACGAACCTATTATTTAATTTATTCCATTAATTTTTTTTAAGATTCTATTTTTTCATTAAAGACTTCTTAATATTCTTTATTAATTCTTTACAAAGTATTAATTTTTTCCAAACTTTCTTTAATATCTTCTTATTCCCATCTAATTATTTTTTTAAAATTATTTAACAAGAAATTCAAATTTCGAATATAATCCTCATTCTATTATTTATTATTATCACAAATTTTCAAAATCCCTTTCAATCTAGAAATAGTTAATAAGCAAGTCAAATAATCTTCTTCAGCTTTCGATATATTGATTTCATAATCCATTACTTATGCTTAAGCGAAGTTTACTTTTTCAGGATTAACTCCATATTTTTATTAATTTTCTTGCAATATACTCATTTATTTTAATTTTTTAGCTAAATTTCTATTATCATTCGATATAATATCTAATTCAATTTTCATATTATGAGCCTAGCTTTCTAATAAAATTAATTCTTTATTAGAATGATTAATTATTTCATTTTTAATTCTAGGTAGTACAGAAGAAATATTCTAAGAATTCTAAACCATCCTTAAAGGATCAAAATTTTAAACTGTTTTATCTTTCATAACTTTACTTTTTTCCAATAATCTTGACATATTTTCAATAGAAGAAGTATTAACATTGTTATTATTAATACTAATATGTTCGATGGTTTTGAAATTCTTTTCTAATTGCTTATTTAAATTGTTTTAATTTAGATATTATTAAGTTATCATAAAAACTGATTTACCTAAAGATATGCTTGATTTTTAGGATTTTTAAGTCCTATATGACATATTATTTTGAGGAATATTTATTGATTTTCTTTCTTTTATTTAAGGAAAGAAAGATGATATTTCCTATTATTATTATTGTAATACAATATCTTGTTTTTAATACATTATTTATTTTTTCAATTTAGCTTCAATAGCTATTTTTAACGCTTATTTAGTAAACTCATTTTCTTTTTTAACACTCATATATTCAATAGGAGATGAAAAACATTCTTTAAGTTTAGCACTATAATCACATTCTAAAGATAAACAAGCCCAAGGAAATTATATCCATAACCATCTTTTATAATAATAATTACTTGGTGATCTTTCTCTAAGATAAAAGCATTCTTTTAATTTTTACATAGTTAATGCATTTTGTTCAGCATATTAAATATCAAATTAAGACATTAAAGCACTATATTTATAAAAAATATTACAAATTAAATTATTTATATTAGATAAAAAATAAATAAAAATAAATAAAATAATTTATATAAAACAACTTATATTTACATATATATATTATATTAAAGATAAATATTTATATATAATGTAATAAAAAATGATATTTAATTGGCATTAAAATATAGTATAAATATCTAAAATATAATCTATATATTATAAATTAAATTTTAAAATTAAAAAAATTTAATTATGTGAAAATAATAAAAATAAATATTTATATAGATATTTATATATTAATATATATTTATATAAATATATATATTTTATATTTATATTTTATTTTATTTAAATTTAATTTTTAAATTTAATTAATTTTTTTTTTTTTTTTAATATATATATAATTGAGATTATTTTAAAAATTACATAAAAATTTTAAATATTATTTGTAATTTATATTTTTTACTTTGTTTTATCTTTATTATTTCTTTCTTCTTCTTCATCCGAACATGTTATTGTTTTTTAATTATAATCTATAGTTTCTTCTTAACTTTTATTATTACTATTATTTATAGTTTCGTAAATTAACTTAAGAAAATATTTTCTAAATTTTTCTCTATTACAAGGTATTTCAACATTTAAAGATTCAACTTCACTTAGTATTTGTATTTAAATCTTTTCAGTCTTTCTTTATGTTGAATTTTTATCTTAATTAACTTATTTTTCATTAATTTCTTAGTAGTCTTACCTTTTTAAAGTTTTTGAAGATATTCCTTTTTTATATATTTTTAAAGCTTCCTTCTTTTCTTAAATTTTTTATTTTAGATTTTTTTTTTATTTATCTAAAGCATTTGCTTTTTCAATTTCTGCCTTATCATTTGAACTAAATAATTACAAATTTACTAATTCTCTCAAAAGCCCGATATCTTCTAATTATTCACAAGTTCCTCTAATAGGCGGATGTCTAAAATAAGGAGTATTATATGTTTCGAAGTCTGCAAATTCCTTTAAAAATCTTGAAATTTAAACAATAATTCTAAAAACATCCTAACTTGAAGGATGATAATGCATTTCGAAACCTTCTATAGCCTTGTTATATTCTCCAACAGGATCAAATCCTTATTCTTCTAAAGCTTACCAATATCTGCATAAATCATATTTATTATTAGGGTTGAATAAAAGAAGAAAATTTTCAATAGTAGAGATTGTTTCTTTTAATTTAAAGTAGTTTTTGGACATGAAAAGGTGATATGTTTATTCTTCTAGTTTTCGGATAGAATTAGATGTATGTTTTTCTAAAACATTCGATATTTCTTCGTGTAATCTTCTAACTTCATTAGTATCAATTTTATATTTATTTTAAATTATTTTTTTTAATGAAAAATTATTCATTTACCAATAGTATTTATATTTAAGAATAAAAACTTTGAAGAAAGCCAAAAATATTCTCCATTCTGGTACTGAAATAGCAGTTATTTTCTTTAATTCATCTAATGTTAAACCTTTCTAAGTTAAAACGAATACTCTTAATAGTTTTCTAAAAGTCTCTTATTACATAATAACATTTGAAAAAAAGTCTAAAGTAAAGTTTATTAAATCTTAATAAGACTATACTTTCATAAGATTATCGTAATTCATTTTATCAAATATCTTTTCGAATGTTCCATCTGGTATTTCTTATTAAGAAATTATATTTTCAGTTGGATAAGGAATATATATACATAAGAAAATCTTATAAAATTATGGATTTTTACACTTCTCATCGAAATTTTTTAATATTGTTAAATGTTTTTCTTTCAATTCTTAATTTATAAATAATTATTTTTAAATATGTCGTTAAATTATTGTATTTCCGATGTTATCTTCTAATTACATTTTTAAAAATTTGCAATTTATTCTTTAAAAATATTCATTAGCATTTGATTGTTTATCACATGTAACTATTACACGTATTTTTTCAGGAAAACAACGAGGAAGCCAAAAAACAATATTCGCTTCTCTATTGTTACTTGTTGATTCTACAAATTAATCTATTGCTTCTATTATTATTATTATTTTGTCATACAATACTACTTCTCCTTATTTTAGTTGTTTTTCTAATTTATCACTACAATGGTTTAACCAATAAGAAAAATATTTTCTTAACTTTTCTTCTAAAAGTTCCACTTTTTAATCTATATCTAATGCTTCCTAATTAATATTTTTATTTTATATTTATTTAAATTATTATTTTATATTATGTTTTTTTTACCCTTAGTTTATTTAATAATCTGTATATTGCAAAAAAATAATTGCTACTATTTCCCCCAGAAGAAGCAAAATGAGAAAGAATTATATCTGGATATTTCTTTTTTATTTAATTAATTAATTATAATTATAAATAATTTTTTTTTTTATATTTATATATAATTATTTTTACTTTATTTTTCAATTATTAATGGTATTCCATCCATTTTATTAATAAAGCTTTTTTGCCTATACCACCTTCTGCTTCTATTACATATGGTTTATTTTCTTCTCTATTAATTGGAGTTTCAAGCCATTCCTCTATTTTAAGAAAGTATTTTTCTAACCCAGAAACGCTAGAGTTTTTGTATTGTTATATTACCACATCTGAAGTGTCAATATAATTTGAATACTCTTATTCTGAAAATTTATTGACTTATGAAACATTATTCATTATTTATGTGTTTTAATTAGAACTCATTAGTTATTTTTTTCAATTTTTTTTTTTAATAGATTATTATTTTCTTGGTTTTTTTTTTTTACTTTTAATTATTTTTTATTTATTTATATTATATATAAATAAAATTTTTGTTAAATTTATTTCAATTAGTTTCATAATTACAAATATATGTAATAAAAAAAACAAATTTCAGAAATTAAAAATATATTTTTAAATATTATGATAACGTAAATATTAATAAAAAAAATACAATTAAAACTTATTGTATATTTGCTATGCTAATTTTAAGTAATTTATATTTATTTTTGAATTATTAGTAAAATTAATAATTTATCTAAAGTTTTATAAACATCTAATAAATTATTTATAATTAAATTATTAGAATTATTCATTTTATAAAATATTAGTATTTAAACTATAAAAAAATTAATTTATATAAAAACAGTTTTTTTTAAAAAATATTAAAAATAAAAACTATTTCTATAAAATATAAAAAAAAAGAGTAGCTATAAAGAAAATTAAAAATAAATAAACAATAAATAAATTATAAATGACTATTATATAATAAAATAATAAATTATAATAATATTGTTTTAAAAACGATAAATTAAATAAAAAAAAAATATAATAATTATAATTATTTTATAACAAAAATAAATGAAAAGAAAAAAAAAAAAATTAAATTAAAATTATATAATTTCAAATATTTATAAGATGATGATAAAGTAAAAAAATATTAGATCAAATTTTTAATCAAATTTTATTTTAGATTTAGATAATTAGTTTTATATAAAAAAAGAATTAAGAAATGTTAACAAAAAAATTTTAAATATTACATTAATAATATTAAAATTAATAATAATTATTATTTATAAAAATACAGTAAAAATAATATAATTATAATTATAATATCTTAATTTTATTTAAAAGAAAAAATAAAAAAAATAAAATAAAATATAAAATGTTTTTGCATTAAACAAAATAATTAAAATATAAAAATAAAAATAAAAAAAAAAAAGATATGTCAAAATAAATTAATAATAATTAAAAAAAATATATTAAATAAATATAATAAAAAAATACATTAGATAAAAAAAATATTTATATATATAAATAAAATATAAATATATTTATAAATATAAATATATATATATAAATATATGTATATCATTATTTTTTTTATATTTATAAAGAAACATTTATATATTTCTTCATATTTATTTTAATTTTATTTTATTTATATTTTTTCTATTTAGATTATCCATAATTTAGTTAATATTTATGCAAATTTTTATCATCTTAATTCTTTTATTATAAAAATTTTGCAAATATTTTTATTAAATAATATAAGATTTTTTTTTTTTTTACAATATTTATATTCATAATTTTTTATATTTTATTTTTTTTAAGTTTCTTTTTTATTAAAATATTAATAAATGTATATATAATTTTTAATAAGAAAATCCTATATAATTATAGTTTTATTATATAAAAAAAAAAAAATTAAATTGCATATTTTTTTATTTATTTTTTTTTTAAAAAATTTCATATGAACTATATTTTATTTAAAAAATATTTTTTCATTAAATTAAAAAATAGCTATTTTACACTTTGTAATTTATTTGATTTAATAATTTATTTAAAAATAGTATTTTATATTTCTAATAATTTTATCTTTTATTTTTATAATAAAAAATATTTATATTTTTTAATAAATTAAAATTTATAATCTTACTCATTATAATTAATTATTTTATATTTTAATTAAATTAATATATATTTAATAAAGAATAAATAAAATTAATTAAAAATATTAATTAGAGCAGTAAGTATTTGAATTTCCATAATCTATATATTAAAAAAAATTAATAATTTTATACTAATATATGTAAAAACAAATCATTTAAAATAAAATAATCATAGATAAAATTTAAAATATCCTTTTAAAAATTATAAATTTAAGATGATTTTAAGAAAATATAAATTTATTTCAAACTGATTTACAAATGTTAAATAATTATACTATTAGTAATAGTTTAAAAATATGTTTTACCTTTCTGATAACGATTTCACAAAAAATACATATAAACCTTTATAACACATTTTTTAAAAAAATTATCTTAAATAAAAGCATTAATCACTTAAAAAAATAAATTGAAATAACATTTTTATGTATTTTTTATTGAAGATTCACCTTAAAATAATTAAAAAAAAAATTTTATTTATATATATTTTTACATTAAATTAATTTGTTATAAATAAAATTAAATTTATATAATATCAGCCAAGAAAAAATAAAGTTTTAGCATTAAAATTAATGTAAAATAAACTTTTAAATCTTTAAAAAAATATTATAATAAAAAGTATATTATTTTTTAATTAAGAAAGTATTAATAAAATTTATAAAAAAATTTAAAAAAATAATAGATAAAATTTTTAATATACATATGTATGCGATAGTAATTTTATAAATTTAGAATTTATAATAATTAGGAAAAAATTAAAATAATATTAATATAAAATAATAAGTTTTTAGATAAATACAAAATAAAAGATTTAAGAAATTAATTAGATATAATTAATTAAAAATTTTAATAATGTATATCAATATGAAATAATTTCTAATTATGATAGAAAAATAAAATAAATTTATAATTTTGTTTAATTATAAAAATTTTATATATTATATTTATAATAATTAATATTAAGTATTATAAATATATTTGTAAATATCTAAATAAATAATTTGTATTTTTTATAAATATAAATGAATAAAATTAATCAATATTTATTGTAAAATTTATATATTTTAAAATATTTAAAATATTATTTTTATTTGAATTAATATTTATAATAAATTTAAAATCATTTTTTTTTTAAAAATATTAAATAATATTTATTTTAAATATATTTATATTTACTATTTTTAAATAAAAAATAATTATTAAATAATTTTTTTATAGAATTATATATTTATTAATAATTTTTAGTTTTTATTAATTTAATTTTACTTCAAATAATTTTTTTTTATATAAAATAGGATTAAATATTATATTTATTTATAAATTTTTAAGCTAACAAAGATATTTATATTTTTTTCAAACTCATATAAATATAATTTAGGCTTTTCCAGGCATACAATTTTATACTGCAGTCAAAAAAACTTTTTCTTAACTTTTTTCAGCATCATCAGCACATAAAAACTATTAAAAATAAAATGTTATAAATATATAAAAAATATATATAAAACTTCAATATTTTCAAGTTTAACTTCTTTTAAAATATTTTCTTTGTTATCTTAAAGAAGCTAAAGTTCGTTAAAAGGTAAAATACTTTCAATAGCTTCTTTTCCGGAAGTTTCAAATTCTTTTTAAATAAAAGCTGCAAATTATAAAGATTTTTTCTTAATATCAACAGAAATATCTAAACTATCTCGAATTTTATTTTTCCAATCTATATTTAAGACATCTCCCTAAAGAGAATTTCTTAATTATTCTAAAACCTAATATAAAGTATAAAAAAAAAAATATTTTAAACAAAAAAAAATATAAATATAAATATAAATATAAATATAAATATAAATATATTTATTTATATATTTATATTTTTTTTTTAATAAAATTACTTTTTACTACCAATCATTATATTTAACTGTATATATTACTATTGCTTTATTAAATACAATTTCTTTATTTCCTTTTTTTATTTAAGTTTATTTAGCATATGTAAGTCTCACATTTCTTAGGAAATTTTAAAGACAATTATACGATCTTAAAACCACTTCATCAATAATAAACTCACTTATTTTAGGTAAAGTATTTTCATTTATATTTTTTTTAATTTTTTCTTATTATTCTTTAGATAATAAAAGCCAAAATTAATTCTACCAAGCAATTTCCGCAAAATGAGGTGCAATAGGATATATTAAAAGTAATTAATATTTAATCCATTCTAATAAAATATCTTTACGAGGTCCTCCTAATTTTTCACAATTTATTAAATATTCATCTTTAATAGATCCAAATTCATGAAACCCATATTTTGTAACATCTCTAAATTTAAGTTCCTCATAAGATTTTATACATTAAATTGTCAATTATTTAATTTAATTTGTGAATACTTTATCAAAAAATACTACTTTTTCATTACATACTTGATCATTATAATCTCTTGCATCAGAAACATTTTTCACATATTCTTTAATCCACATTTCTAATGTAGAAATCTTTAAAATTGAATTATCAGCAATTTTAATTTCGAAATTAGCATCATCTTATGAATCTCCAGATTCCGCTAATGCAAAACGAGTTGCATCAGCACCATATTTATCCACTATATCTTTTAAAGTATAAAAATTTCCATTTTATTTGGACATTTTTTTACCATCGACTAACATATAACCATTCACGAAATATGAACGAGGCCACATATGTGGCTATTAATCCCATATTGCTGCATGATTAAATAAACTCATTGTAAGATGATTTTTAACTAAATCTTTAGCAGAAGCACGGAGATCTAAAGGATACCAATATTAAAATGAGTTTCTAATCTATATACATTTATCTTCATTAACTTTTATTTATTAATTATATTAACAATTTAAAAATATATAATCCCAAAATTCACGATTCAATTAATCAGGAGTTATTCCTAAATGACCAACTTAAGATCCTTAAACGTTTCCTTAAAAAAATAAGATAATAAAAAAAATAGATAAAATAATAAAATAAATAAGTAAATAAATAAATAAATAAATAAATAAATAAATAAATAAATATAATTTATATTTATATTTATATTTATATTTTTATATTTTTATATATTTTTATTTTTACCTTATAATAAATGACTAATAGTATAATAAGCCATATAAATCGTTGAATCAGAAAGAGATTCAATCAGATATTTATCATCAAATGGTAAACGGGTTCCAAGTCCAAACGAACGAGAACATCCCCAATGATTTAACCAATCAACTGTTGTTTATATACTTTTAAGAACAACATTATTATAGCAATTAAAGTTTGGTCCATTTACATGTTCTCTTATTTATTTTTTCCAATTTTCATCATTATAAGAAATATACCATTGATCACATAGACTTACTATGCATTCATCGCCAGAACGAGAAATCACTTTTCCTTCAGGTTCATAATAAGATACTGCTTCTTGTGATATTATAAGATCTTTTTTTACTTATTCTTTCGCCTCTTGTACTTTTTTACCTTTATATTTACCAACTAACATTTTTCCATCGTAAAAACCTTTAGTGTAGCATTTATCTTTAGCTAATTTTAATTTTTCTTTATCGTTTTATGACGCTACTTTAAATTCCTCACAAGCTAATATTGCAGATAAATTTCCCATTTAAGGAATTTCGATAATAGGAACAGGTTCAAAAGGTATAATATGATAATCTTTAATACCAAATTTTTCTCTAAAGGCCTGTTTCTTTTATAAATCTCTTAATGTAGCATAGTCATCAGGTGCATCTGAAGGTACAGAAGTTACTATGCCAGTACCTATATAGATATATTTTAAAATTATAGATTTTTTTTTTAAATAATTTTTATCAAAAATATAAAAAATATGTTTAAAAAAAATAATAAATAAATTTTATATAATAATAAATTAAAAAAATTAAAAAAAAAATATAAAAAAAAAAATATAAGTTTATATATAAAATTAAATATATGTATATGTATATATATATATATATATATATATTATTTATATTTATTTATATTTATTTATATTTATTAATATTTATTTATATTTATTTATATTTGTATTCTTTACCTTTATCCATTAAAATTGATAGCATAGGAAGTGCATATATTTTTTCATATTTAGCTAATGGTGCTTTTAAAGGAAGTCCTAACAAATCAGTTCCTTTAATTTCTAGTATTTTTTTTACCTAGCCATATTCTTTCGTTAAATCTTAATAAGCCATATTTTTTGCTGCTCTTTCTGAAACAATAAATATCTTTTTAAATTATATTATTTTTATTTTTTACTTATATATATATATATTTACTTCATCATTTATCATTTCAAATGCTCCATAAATTCCTTCAGGAAGTACAAAACAATTAGTTTATCCATACATTGTTTCAGGTCTAAGAGTAGCTGCTGCCAAATAAACATTTTTCCTTACAAAGGAGCTAAAGCACTGTTAAGTTCTAATATTTTTAACTTAATAAGTGTGTATTCTTATGGTCCCAAACCTTCTCCTTCTGCTCTATCATGATCAGCACACATTTATTTATCTGTAATAGAGAATATTGAAGGTCTTTTTCCAAAATTAATGTATTTTCTTTCCTTGAGTAATGTAAATTGCCATTTTATGAATGAATCATAATATGGATTAACCTCTGTGGTAATAAAAGATCTTCTATGATCAACGGAAACTCCGAAATATTTTAAATCTTAAGTGGCAAAAGGATGAAAAAATTATGTCCAGAATTTAGTATCTACAAATTTTGGTATTTCCTGTTAAATTACAATAAAATATTAGAATTATTTTTTTAATAAAATAAAAAAAAATATTAATAAATAAATAAAAAAATATCAATATATAAGTAAATTTATTTTTAATTAAAATATTTTAGTAATTTTTATAATATTATTTTCAAATTTATAATATATTGAATATTTTTTATATATTAATAATAATAAAATTTTTTAAAATCATTTGTTTATATTGTTTATTTATTTTATATATATAAAAATTAAAATTAATTACTTCTTCACTAATACCCATTTTTTTCAAAATATTCCATTACCTTTAATCAACACCTTCATTTGGGAATTTTGGAGGACAACCGAATTAATTAATTTCACTTTACAATTTATTTGCAGCTGCACAAATTGGTTACCCAGTGCAATGAAAACCAAAAGGAAAAACAACATTATATCCTTATAAAATTTTATAACGAGCAGTAAAATCAACTTTAGTCATAGTATATGCATGACCAAGGTGTAGTCTTCCATTTAAATATGGATAAGGGAATGTTAATAAGTATTTTTTTTATCCAGGATTTGGTTCTGCTTAATAAGTTTTTTCTTATTCCCATTTTGCTTGTGCTTATCTTTCAAGTTCCATTAAACCGTCACGTCTTGCAAATTGCTTTTTAGGGGCTTCTTGTTTGTCTTATTTATCCATGATTATTTTAGAAAAATTTAATTTTTATTAAAATATTAATTAATTTGTTCTTTTTTATTTTATTAAACTTGATATTTTTTTTAGAGTTAATATCATTTATTTTAAAATTAATTTTTATTTAATTTAATATCTATAATACTTATTTTATTTTTATTTTTATTTTTTTAAATATAAAACATATATATATATTTTAATTTTATTTATTTTTTACAATATTATATATCTTTTATATTAATTTTTAAATTAATGTTAGATTTAAATATAAAACTTCATAAAAATATATAGAAAAACTAAACATACTTAATCAATAACAAATATAAAAAATATATTAAATTTATAAAATATTTAATTAATTCATTAATATAAAATTGATTTAACTTGAAATTTTAATATTTAATTTAGTATTTTATTTTAATAGGAAATCTATAAACTCTAATACATTTTAAGGTACACAAATTTTCATTTTTATACAATCAATATTTTTAATATGTTTAAGATAAAAGCATTTACCTAAAACTAAATTATTATTTACATGATTTTTAACAGATCCAATAAACTTATTTATATTCTATATATTCTAAATTTATCCATAAACACCTTCGCTATTAATTTAAATCATATTATTATTTATTATTTTTATTTAATTAGATAATACATATTCTTTTTTATTTTAATTTAATTTTAATAATTATTTTTTCTATTCAATTAAAAGCTTATGTAATTTAACTTGAATTATCACATATTTATTCTAAAAACTGTTTTTATTCCTTTTTTTTAATTAAAAAATTATCTATTAATATTATAAATCAATTAGAATAATTAATTATATTAAAATTATTCATATATTATTAATAAAATTAATTTCTAATTATATTTATTTATTCATAATTGTATAGATTTTCACTAATAATTAAATTTATTTTTATATATTGCTTAATATATTTTCACTCAAAATAATATTAAATTCATTTTTTTATATTTTACTCTGTTATAGATTTATTAAATTTATATAAATTCTTATAAGTTTAAATATTTTTACATAAAACTTGATATTTTTCATGCGATTCGCAATAATATATTTTTTGATTTCAAACTTTTAAATATTTAATTAAATTTTAATTTATAAAAATTTCTTTATTATTATTTTATTTATTTTAACAAAAAATATTTTAAAAGTGATTATTATTTAAAAAGTTTATTACTTTTTGCTAAAATTTATAATTATATTAATTATAGTAAAATAATTTATAATTATATTAATTATAGTAAAATATTAATGAATAACATTTTTATTTTTAATTGTTATAAATAACTTTAAAAGAATAACAAGTTTTTTTTTTTATTAAATAATGTAAATCCTATATTTTTTAATTTTTAGTTAAAATTTATAATATTTTAAAAAATTTAAAACTAAAATTAATTCTAAATATTTTTTAATTATATATCAAAACTTATTCTTGAATATAAAATTCATTTGTGTATTAAATATTCCATAATTTATATTATTTAATTCATAAAAAAGGTTAATTAAATCTATATTAATTATTTTCATAAAATAAGCAAATGGATTTTTTTTAATAAAAATTATATAAGCTCTTTAATATTCATTATAATTTACTAAATTTGTAAAAAATAATATTTAATTTAAACTTAAAATTGTTATAATCTAAATAATGTTCTAAAAATTAAATAAAAACAAAAAGCAGCAAACAATCAAAGAAAAATAAAATAATATTAATTTATTATTTTTAAAATATTAGAAATTAAATTAAAATAAAATAAAAAACTAAGATATAATATTTAAAATATTTTTTGTTAAAACAAAAAATTATATATAATTATATTATTAAAAAAATAAAAATAAAAACATCTACATAAAAAATATTTAATTAAATGGATACAGTTATTGATCATAGAATAAGAGATTGGGTTTTTAGTCCTATAGTTATAGTTATGTTTATGGTATTTTAATTTTTTTACATATAAAAAATCATTTATATTTAAAAAAAATATAATTCAAATAATAATATAAAAAAGGTAAATTTATTTAGACATTATTTATCTATTTATTCAGAAAAAAAAACAATTGAAAAAATATCGGCATTAAACGAATATTTAGACATATGTGATAAGTATTATGAAAAAAAAAATATATTAATAAATTATTAATATATAATTAAATAAAGATAGTAAATAGTAAGATGTTAAAATATAATAAAGCATAATAGCTTATTAACCGATAATTCATTCAAAATAAGAAAATATCATTTATGTAAAAAGAACGGAGGATATTTAACTGTTAGAGGAGAAAGAGTAACCTAAGTAAACCCAATGTAGCAAATGGCATAAATGAATCCAAATAATATGACAGCTATGTTAAAGAACAATTTATCAATGGGTCTATCAACATTTTTACTTTATACATGGGTAAATTAATTATTTTCAGGTTTTATTTTGGCTCGTGTACCATTTCCTTTAACTTAAAAATTCAGAATAATGTTATAAAGTGGGGTTGACATTTTAAATTTAAATGTGAGATATGTATCTTCATTGTCTCTTTACTTTTATTATTAACTTCTTTGTCTCAAATTGTAAGCATTTTTACAGGAAACTACAAAGATTAAGAATAAGAATTAAGATAAAAGAGAGTAAAAAATATATATAGTCTTTAATTCAAAACTTTAATATAGGCTTAACAAGAACAGTTAAATCAGGACCTGGTGGAATGGGAGCTATGGGAGGAATGGGAGCTATGAATCCTATGAGTTAAATGTCCGGCATGATGGGAGGATAGATGGCTGGACAAGGACCAGATTATAAAAAAATATTTAATAATGAAAAAGGTATTTAATTTTTTATGTTTTGTATTTAAAATGTTTTTGTATCTTTTTCTAGAAAGTATTGAACTTGTAAGACATCATTATATATTAGAAAACTCAGAAAAAGATTTAATTTAGAAATATAAATATATGTTAGGATTTAAATGAAATAAAATATATATTAAAAAATAATTTAGTGGATTTTTATTAAAAATAATTTAAATAAATAATAGTAAGTTAATATTAATTAGTTATATTTATAATATTTTTAAAAAATATTAATTAATTATTATAAAATTAATAATTTATAAATTTTATGAAAGAGATAAAAATATTAAAAATAATATAATAATTTATTAAATATTTTAATTATAAATTTTAAATTGTTTTTGACTTAAAAAATATTATTTATTAATTAAAACTAAAAATATTCTTTTCATTTTTATATATTTATTATTAATTAACTTAAATTAATAAGTATTATGAATAGAAAATATAAAAATAATAATAAAATTTAATTTTATTATTAAATAAACACCAAATATGTAAAAAATAAATAATATTAATTTGCAAAAAATAACTTATTTTAAAAATAAGATTAAATATGTAAAAGAGATATTTAATCACAAAAGCAATAGTATAATTTAAGAATGTAAAAGAGATATTTAATCACAAAAGTAATAGTATAATTTAAGAGAAATTTTGGTAAATAAAAAAAATAAAAATATAATAATTAAATACTAAAAAAATTATAATTATAAATATAAAATTAAATAGTAAATTTAAAATATATACAAAAAAAATAATAGAGTTAAAAATTTTGATGAAAGTATTTTTATGCCCAAAATATTGAAAATTAAGAAAATAATTAAATATTAGAATATTTAACAATATAAATACATTAAAATTCTTATTTTTTTTTTCATTTTAATTTAACAAAATTTAAAATCAAAAAGTGAATAAGAGATTTAGGACATGATGAAAGCAAATATAAAGTTTGTGGAAAAATATAAAAAGATAATAAAAATCAACATAATAATTGTATCGAGATAAAGTATAGGACTGTTAAGTGGAATTATATATAGAAAAATAGTAATAAATTCATATAGTAATAAAATATAATAATTAATATAATAAATCTAAGAAAAATAAAATAAGTTTAATTGCTTTTTATGTATATAAAATATTTTTATGATAGGCTATAAAAAAAAAGTATATTAAAAAAAAATTATAAATACAAAAATAATATTAAATAAGAAAATATTATTAGATTACCTTATAAATGATAATTTTGCATTAAATTATAATTATATATTTAAATAAAAAAAATAATTTTGTAGAATGAAAAAATAAGGTTAAAATAAATATAGTAATAAAGAATTTAATAAAGAAAATAAATATAAATTATATATTAAAAAATAAAAAAATATTATATTTAAGGATATTATAATAAATAAAAAAAAAAAAATTATAAATCATATAATAATATATATATAAAGATAAAAAAAAAAATAGAATAATATAATAAAATCTAAAAATTATAATAAACAGATAATATATATTAAATAAAAAAAAAAATATAAGGAAAATAATTATTATTATAATAACAATAATAGCAATAAAAATAATAATAATAATAAAACAATAATAGCAATAATAATAATAATAATAATAATATAATAATAATAATAATAATAAAAATAATATTAATAATAATAATAACAATATAAAAATAATAAATATATATATAATATAAAGGTTAGTATATTATATTTTTTATAATTAAAATAATAATAATATTTAATTTAATATAATTTTTTTTTATATATTTTTATTTTTATCTTAATTTTTAGGTTAATAAACTATTACAATATTAATTTTTTCATAATAGTTTAAATATATATTAATAATAAATAAAAAATTAGTAATATTTATTTTTTTAAAAAAATTAATACAATTTTAAAATTAATATTGTATAAAATACATTATTATATAGCAAAATTCATTTATAAACATAATTATTATAATTTTATATATATATAATTTTTATTTATAAATATAATCTATTACAGAATAAAAAAAACGTTTTAAAATATATATAAATATATTATTGAAAATATATGTTTTTATTTAAAAAATATAATTGAATAAATAATTTTAAATAGAATTATTGACAATAAAATAGTTTTTTAATATATTAATTATAAGAACATAATTTTTTAATTAAATATCTTAATAATATATTATTTATCAGAAAATAATACCTTTTTATTTTTATATAGTAAGCAATAAATATTATCAAAAATATTCTTTAAAAATTTTATAAACAATAAATAATTTAAATTGTAAAAAAATGTTTAAATGCAATTATAGTAAATGTATTTATTCAAATGATAAAAAAGTTGCCTAAAATACAAATTTAATATTTTAACCATGCTAAGAATGTTAAGAAGTATTTTATTGTTCACAAGAATGTAAACAAAAAGATTTGTAATTAAAAAAACTAAAATATCACTTAAATAAAAAAAATAATAATATTTTTAAAGGCCAACACATTAATGTAATGAAAAAAGTCAAATATATAGCAAATATCCTGGTCCTTAAAATATTACAGATAATTCAACAATTTCAAATTTAGAAGATTCATCAATAAGTTCTAGTTCAATATCAAAAAAAAACGCAAAAACATTGGAAGACTTTGAATTTATAAATAAACCGAAAAAAGACACAGGAGATTTAGGTAAAGGTGCTTTTGGTGAAGTAAAATTAGCAAAAGAAATAAAAACAGGTCGCTTAGTAGCCATTAAACAAGTATAAATGAAAAATTTAAAAATAAAAAATAAAATAAAAGATAAACAAAAAAGTACTTTTATAATATTCAACAGTTGATCATTTAAAAAGAGAAATTCGTTTATAAAGAAAGCTAAACCATATCCATGTATTAAAACTATTCGATAAATTCGAGGACAATCAAAATGTATATTTATCCCTTGAATATGCTGAAAACGGTTCTTTATTCCAATATTTAAAAAAGAAGAAGAAATTATCAGAAAAAGAGTCATTCATATATTTTTTTTAAACATGTTTAGCATTAGATTATTTACATAAAAAAGACATTATCCATAGAGACTTGAAACCAGAAAATCTACTTCTTGACAAAAACGGAAATATTAAGCTTTGTGACTTTGGCTGGAGTACAGAATTTAGTGGAAATAGAGAAACATTTTGTGGTACTTTAGATTATATGAGTCCCGAATCTTTATAATATTAAAAACATGATAAAGCAGTAGATATTTGGTCTGTAGGAATTCTTCTTTTCGAACTTATTCATGGATTCGCCCCTTTTTCTAAAAAAGGTACTAGTAGAGAAAAAATGCTTGAAGAAATAAACAATGCAAGTATCAACGGAATTATTTTCAATCCAGATATTTCTTAAGAAGTTAAAAATCTCATTGTAATGATTCTTAATGTTAATTCTTTAAAGCGACCTTCTTTTGAAAAAATACTTTCACATACTTGGGTTTAGGAATATGGAAAAGTATTCAATATCGATGTATTAGCTTAAATGTATAAAAAAAAAGAACTCATTTAGTAATAATAATAAATATAATAATAGTAAATAGTATCTCCTATTAATCAAGATATAAGAAAAAAACCTTCTTTTTAAAACTTATTAGTTAATCAATAGGAAAATGTATAAAAAAAGGATGTTTCTCAAGATCAAAAAAAGCCATCATTTAAATAATTGCTTTAAAATCCAATCGAAAAACCTCCATCTAGAAGTTTAACTCCCACTCAAAAAAAGATTTTTGATAATAAAAATCAATAATTAGAAAATAGGTCAATGACCCCTACACCTCATTCCACTTTATTTTAAGAAGTAGTTAAAAATAAACAATAATAATAACCAGATTATAACAATACTTCAGTTTCTAATAATAATACTTCAAATATTAATAATATTTCTAATAATAATAATAATATTTCTAATTATAATGATTTAGTAAATAAATATTCCAAAAGTAAAAGTCCTTAGCCTAAAAATGATGATAAATAAATTATTGTTGATAAATATAAAAGACCAAGCTTCAATTCTACTAATTAATAAAATTAAGAGTAATCTCCAAACTTAACTTAATAATAAAGAGGTAGAAAATAAGTTGAATCTAATAATAATTAAAAAAGCACTAATGATTAATCAATTATTAGCAATAATAATAATAATAATAATAATAATAATAATAATAATAATAATAATATATCTACTTTGTCAAAATCACCTAAAAAGAAAATATTTGAAAACAATAATAATACGCAAATAAATCAAGATTATTATTGTAATAATTAAAAGGTAATAAAAGGCTAATTAAAATCTCCTATAAATAATTTTTAAAAACCAAATATTACTTCATAAAAAACAGTTAAAAATTCTGATGTTACATTAGACTTGAGCATTAGTACAATACCAAATGAATAATCAATGATATCTTAAATATCAGCATTTTAAGCAGCTAAATATAAATAAAAAGAAACAAATTTCGAAGAATTTTAACATGCTAACTAAGTATTTTTACATATTAAAAATAAAATATTTTTTTTTAAATAAATAATTTAAAATAAAAGTAATTCATTTCCACTTTATTAGAAAAATAAAACTTAGAATATAAAAAACAAGTAAAATAAATAGAAAACGAATTAGATTAATTAAGAAATGATAATGAATAATTACGAGAAAATTCTTAAATTTACACAATAGAGCAAAAAGAATAAAACTTTTAATATGAAAGTCATTTAAAAAATCAAATAAAGTAAATACAAGAATAATATTTAGTTTAACAAAATGAACTGAAATAAATAGAAAAAGAACAATAAAAAAAATACAAAAATCTAAGTGAAGAATACTAAAAATAATAAAATCAAATTTTAAAATAATAATAATAACTACAATAGGAATACAGAAGGCTAGAAAATCAGCAAAATGAATATTAATAAAAATGGGAACTTTAATTAGAAGAATAAAGATTAAAATTATAAGCAGAATATGAAAAAAAATAAAAGCAAGTATAAAAAGAATAAGAAAAAAAGAATTAAGAATTAGAAAATAAATACAGAGATAATAATAATAGTAAATTTGATTAATCTTATATCAATATGTAAGTAGAAACTGATTAAAAAATTAATTAAATGCAATAAGATTATAACGAAAATCTTGTTTTGTTGGAACAAAGGTAAGAAGAGTTTATTAAAGAACAAAAAAGAATTAAAAACGAACAAAAAGAAATGCAAGAAAAACTTAAAATATAAATAGAAGAAAGAAGTCTTTAAATCTAAGACGAATATGCAAAAAAATATGTCCAAATTAAAACTGAGTTAGAAAAGAAATATGCAGCTTTGGAAGAAAAATTGAAAGAAAAAGAACAAAATAAACGAAATGCAATTGCAAATTAATACAAAGATATGTACGAAGAATAAAAATCTTATTTTAACGAATAGCATAAATAATTAGAATAATCTTATATCAAAATGGAAAAAGAATAAGTTAATAAAACTAACAAAATGTAATAGGAATATGAAAAAAAATACAAGCAATTAGAAAACGATTAAAAATAATTACTTTAGTAATTTCAAAAACTCGAAAATTAACAAAAAGAATAATAAAAATAATTAGAAATTGCTTTAGAAAAACGAAATGAATAGCTTTAGGATGAGTATCATAAATAAAAAACATAAATAAAAAAGGAGTTCGAAGAAAAAATCAAATAAATGAATAAAAATGACAACAATAATAAAAAAAAAGGTGAAAAAGATGAAGATAATAATTAATTATATGAAAACACATAAAATGAATATAAATATAAAATTAATGAAATTGAATTAGATTTTCAAAAAAAGTAATAAGAAATTGTAAACCAATAAAACTCATTAAAAAAATAATAAATTAAATATTAATAATAACAATAAGAATATATGAAAAATTGGTAAGAATAAATTGAAGAAAATTAACTGAAAATTCAAGAAGAATATTTAAATTAATAGAGAGAAATTCGAAAAGAATTCGAAAAAAGACAAAAAGAATTCGAAGAAAGATTAAAAGAAAGAAATTCGTTAAAAAGGTAAACTTATTTAAATTTTATTTAAATAATTTTTTTTTTTATTAAAAAAAAAAAAAGAAATGAATTTGAAGAAATTTTAAGATAAAAAAATTAATAATATGAAGAATTATATGAATATAAAAACATATAAGAGGAATAATTTAAAAAATTGGAAATATCTTAGAATGCTTTGGAAAAAGAGCATAAGGAAAAGTTCAAGTAATTGTAAGAAATTAACAAAAAGCATAACTTTATTGAATAAAATTAGTAAGAAATACTTTAAAAATACGAAATTTTGGAAGAATTCAGTAAATAATAAAGAGAATCCGTAAAAAAGAATATAGAATAAACAATTTAATAAGTATAAAAAAACTATGAAGATTAAATCAAAAACTTAATGAAGGAAATGAAAAAATAGTAAAATGAGTTTGAATAAAATTACAAATAAAAAAAAAACTATTTATTCAGATCTTGATAATGATTCTCTTTAGATTTCTTCTAATACAACTTTTTTATAAGAAAATTTGAATATTCTTAAAGAAGAATAAGAATCAAAAATATAGTTTTTTATTTATATATTTATTTTAAAAATATATAAAAAAAGTAAATTAGAGTAAGAATATAAACAAAAATAGAAAAATATTGAACAAGATTAAAATGAATTAAGAAACAAATACAAATAATTAGAAAAAGGACAAGAGGGATATTTCAAAAAATACGAGCAAGAATTAAATGCTAAAAACCAGGAACTTAGATAAGAATACGAGAATAAATATGAATAACTCAAAGAAGAATTTGAAGAAAAATAATAAAGATTTGAATAAAAACTAAAAGAACAGGAAGCTATAAAACTATAAAAACTATAAGAAAAATTAGAAAAAAAAAGCGGATATGGATATCTAAAAAGTGAATAAATAGAATAACTTGAGCAATCATTTATGTAAATGCAACGCTCCGTTGATGAATAATATTCCAAAAAATTAAAGAAATTAGAAATTCAATACAAAGATTTATAATAATATTGCTAAAAAATGGAAAAACTATAATAAATATAGCAATTAGAAAACTAAAATAAAATCGAAGAATAATTAATGAAATGCCAAGCAGAATATTTCAAAAAGCAATTAGATTTGTAAAAAGATATTGAAAAAAAGAACAAATTAAAAAATAATAATTAATGTATGTTATAAGAAGAAACATCTTAAATAATGGAAGAAAAATTGGATTTATCAATATAAAAAATATAATAAGAATAATTAAAAATGTTTGAAAAATTAAAAAAAGAACTTGAAAATTAATAAAAACTTCAAAATTAATAAACTAAACTTTTAACTATAAAATCTTAAAATTCTAAATAATATTCCACAAATTAATCTTAATAATATTCAAAATCTTCAGAAAAAAAATTATTAGAAAGTAGTAATCATAAAAATCTCAATTCAATCTAAGAAAGGCTATCTTAAGAAAGTTATAAAAAAGATGATGATAATAATTCATCGGATAATTTATAGGAATCTGTTACATTTCAAGAACTAAGTATGGAATCTAATTAAAGTAAATTGAGAAGACTATAATTAAAAAAAAAATATTAAAATATTACTTGCAATAGTAATAATATTAATAATATAGATGAATCAATAGATCCTTCTGTTAATAAAATTTATTTAAATAATTATTTAAATAAATCTAAGTAAATATTTTATTTTTATTAATTTTGTATTTATTATTAAATTATAGTATTAGTTAAAAAAAACTTTAAATATTAGATGAATCATAAAGAAGGCAGTAAAATCGAAATTCAATATAATAAGATAATTTAGATGATTCAAATGTAGGATGGAGAATAACGCATTAAAAATTAAGTAGATTGCAATAATAAAATTAATATAATATAAGGTATAAAAAAAATAAAGAATTGGGATTTTTAGAAAAAATTTAATATGTATTTGGATGTACTAAAAGATGATATATAAATCCATATTTTTTTTTTCAATAAAAATTACTCTTAAAATTATATAATTTTTTATTATATAATTAAAAAAAAAAAATACTAATATTTTATATATTTCTAAAAATTTTATCATTTATTTATTTTAATTTAAATTTATTTTATATTATTTTTTTATTAACTATATAAAATAAATATTTGTATATATAAAAATTAAAAATATATTATTGTTATAGTGATAAATAATTATTCATTGAAAAAAAAAAATCTATATATTTAAAATTTTTTTATTTAATATTTATTTATATATTTATTTATTCATTTATTTATCATATATTATATTATTTTTATGTTATATAATATTATCCTTTTACTTTAAATTATTTTATCATATTTTTTTATATAATTTATTTTTAAAAAAAATAAAAAATATA